ATGAGTTTTATGTGTGGAGAGCCGTGTTCTTTTGACCCAAAAGATCTTAAGATTTTATCCACAAAATGTGTCTTTTCATATATTTGCGTTTTAAATTTGAATCTTTACAAATTTGAAACATTGCGTTTTAAAATTAAATTCAAACACAATAATGGAAGTAATTTGAGGTGAAAAATTATGGCACAGGAATTTATCGCTAATTGTGTTAAAGAATTTCGTATATTCATCCCCTTCATCTGTATAAATAAACACAATTGAAGTGTTAAAGAATTTTTCAACAACACTTTTGAAGTTAAAGAATACAGTAAACAAATGAAACTTGCATTGCATAGGAAAAAACCATGTATAACAGGTGAAGTGATTGAAAAAAATTACAAAGTATAAAAAACCATCAGATGAAAGCATTGAGGTTAGTCTCCAAACATTAGAATAAATTAATTCAGGATGCCTTTTACTTGTCAAAGACGAATCATTGAAAGGGAGCCTATGGCTTTTATTACAAGCAAAGGAATGACAGATAAAGGATTTAGGTAAGTTGCTGCCAAAAGGTAAAGAACATGATTTGAGTAAAAACTCTAAGATACGAAAAGATGGATGTCCTAAGCGATTGTGCCAATTTACTTGAGAAGTTTTAACACTAATCTGAACCATGGGCTGCTGTACAAACATTAGCCCACACAGCTAAGTGCTTCCAACCACATCCTCTGCCTCCTCTGCGACACCGAATTAAGTCATTAGCCTTCTGAAAAAAAATTACTTCAATGCTGTCGTTCCTTATTTTGTCGAAGCCTTGGAAGATCAATCAAATCTTCATCTACTTGTTCATTCTTACTTTTCTTCTCCCAGTCCTTTGTTTGTGCTTATCGATAATATTTTCAAGTATCTCAACAGCTTCGCAGCTTCAAACTTTATTATCTTATCCGCTTCTTTATTTGTCTCAACAAGCGAGGTAAATGTATATATTTCACGAACCAGGTGTCCAAATTTAAGTCATGAAGCTTGAAAATCTGACAATTTCATTCTACTCGAACAAACTAAGTGTAATTTGAACAGAAACTGTTATATTATTTACTCTTCGTTATAATAAAATATTTTTTAAAGAAAATAAATCATCTTTTTTTCATTTATTTGAATCCTTTTAATAATTATTAAGATTTTCCATACATGTATAGTATCATTGTCCACACCAAATAATGTGACCCATTATCCTCACTATGAGGTATTATCCACTTTGGCCTTCTAGCCTTACAGTTTTATCACATGAGAGACCTTACAGGTTAAAAATGGTGTCAACCCTCAAATGTCCAATATTATTCTAACACATAATTAATGTGGGATTCATGACTTCCTTCTTTGGATCATGACATCCTTTCTTATTCCCATTGGAAGTTTCTCTTCAATGTGGGACTTTATGTTTTTATCTATTGGGAGCATTATCTTAACAATATGGGATTCACGTCTACGTGAGGAACGTGACATCCTCCCCACTTCAATAAGGGCTCATTGTCCCCAATGGCATATCACCAGTACTTAAAGTCGGCTTTGATACTAATGGTTATGGTCCACATCAACTCATATGAGGTATTATCTACTTTGGTCTACTAGTTTCACGGTTTTGTCTCTTAAAAGATGCCTCATAGGTTGAAGGCGGTGTTGACCCTTAAATTCCCAATGTCATTCATCTAGTATTCATAGCTCCCCTCTTTAGGATCATGACATCTTCCCTTACTCCTCGCTGAGAGTTTCTCTTCAATGAGGGACTTTGTAGCTCTACCCGCTAGGAGCATTATCTCGAAGATGTGGGATTCACGGTCCACACAAGGACCGTGTCGCATGAAATCTCACATCAAAGAGAAACTCCTAGCGACAAAGTAAGGGAAGATATCATGGTCCTAAAGAGGGGAGCTATGGATCCCACATCATTATGTACGAGAGTGATACTAGAAATATAAAAGTTCGCACTACCTTCAACTTGTACGGCTCTTTTTGTGAGATAAAACCGTGTGGTTAGCAAACCAAAGTGAACAATACCTCACAAGAATCGATGTGTACTATAACACCTAGCATGTGTTCTCTTTCTTATATTTATTATTGTAGCTATGAAATGTAAAATTAAATTTTCAATACTTGATATGCTCTATTCAAGGGGCGACCAGGGATATGATTGTAGCCATGAAACATAAACTTTTCAATTCTTGATACGCTCGATTCAAGGGGGGACCAGGGATGGGCATGCGAAATTAATTAGTGTTTTGTCTATTTTAGAATGCCTTATCAACCTTCACATCCATCCAAAAGGTCACTCATATTCAAGAGGTACTTTAAGCTTGAAAAATCAGTTATCATAACCAAACATTACCACTAAGCAAAAAGCATCTATTCCCTCTCCACAACAAATTTGGCAAGCGCATTTGCAAAGGAATTGGCTTTTATCAAAGTATGAATAAACTTATATATCTCCAATCAATTTAGAGCAATAGTCAACCTCATGCAAAATTTCCAATAAGCCCATTGTCTTTCGAGTGACTCCCTAGCCCATGACAAAGCCACTCTGGAGTCGAATATTTAATCACTAGCCTTTTAATTTCCACATAGGAGGAAGATGTAAACATTTGCAATGCATGTTTAACAGCCATTAATTATGCATAATTTGACTCTTGCACACCAGGGGGACCAAAGAAAAGTCCCACAACCAATCCTTCATCATTTCTCAATAAACAACCACATTCGGCTAATCTTGTACAGGAAAAAGAAACGTTTTATGTGTGGAGGGCTGTGTTCTTTCGGCTCAAAAGATCTTAAAATTTTATCCACAAAATGTGTCTTTTCATATATATCATAATGAATCTTTATAAATTTGAGACATTACATTGTAAATTTCAATTCAAATGCAATGATGGAATTAATTTGAGGCAAAAAAATATGGTACAGGAAATTACAGATAATTGTGTGAATTAATTTGGTACAAGAAACCATAAAATGTATTAGGTTAATTAATAAAATACCATACAATATTTGTGGTGAGATTTTGTTACATTAGCAATTTGATTTTGTTAATACATATCATTTCATTGAGCACAAAAATTCATTGAAACTTTATCTCTTTCTTAATCTCTCCAAAATTTATTAATTGTCATACAACCCAACCATATATGCATTGAACTAAGGAACAACATTAAAGAAACAATGAAATTGCTTCAATAACAGTCTGTTTTATTTTAGGTTTCCCCGGTAAACCAAGGCTTCCTTCCCACTTTCTATTGAAACATCAATCTTAGCCCATTTGCTAAACAACGTAATTGATAGGAGAGCACTGGCTTGGCAAGAGAGGCCACATATTAAGCCTATCCACAAACCCTGAAGCAACCAAAGAAAAAAAAATCATGGAAAGAAACAGAATGGGGAAGAAAAGATAAGAAACATGGGAGTGAATTTAACTGAAAAAGATAACATATGTTTCACCTTATCATATAGCTTAAGCATAAATCCAAGAAGGCATGCAATTGGCATGCCAATAAAATAGAAAGTCCCCAAATTAGCCCACACAGCCAAGTGGTGCCAACCACATCCTCTGGCCATCCCTGCAACACCAAATTAACTCATTGGCCCTCTGAAATTAAATTATTATTTATTGCTTGCATTTGCATTAGGATATTAGCTTTACTTT